CAAGTGATTAACATGTAACTTCTCCATATTGTATCCATAAATTATCCAGCAAACAGGTCATGAGATTACTCAAACTTATTAGGTACAAGATATTATCTTGATGGAACACCAAATTCTCGCAACCAATTCAGAAGGAAATGTATAGCAGCTAGAGGAGAGAATTTATCAATCAGATTTTGGGAATTAAAGGGTTAACTGAGATTTATTGCCTAGTATATATTACGTAAGACCTATAATGCCTATATGCATACATACATGTAACTTATACAATTATATTAAATGATTTGATTATTAACTTTATAGACAGAGAGTTGTGACTCAAAGTTAATGCACTACAGGAATAATGTCTGCCTATGTATGTTTTTCTGCACTTTCAACCAGAATTTTGAATTGAATTTAAAATTCAATAATAGTTGGAATTAAGTTTTCTGTGGTTGGTGGCAGAAAACATTTTCTGATGGGGACATTTGCTGACGACTTCAGTTTTCTTGTTCAATCTGTAACTTTACATAATTGCAGGTGCTAAAGATACATTAAGTTTCTCAGATGAGCATAAATTACTGGCCAGAGTTTCATCTGCCCCACAGCCCACACATTGAAACAAATGTTGCTCCATCATATCTCTGCTTGATGGACAAGTAGGAACTGTACAGTCTGGTTTTTTTTCCCCCTCTCCTTCCCACCTCTCCCCTTCCCTTCCCTCTCCTCCCCTTCCCTCCTCATCCCTCACCACTGCCTTGGCACAGGGTTCATGAAAATTACTCAGCTGACAGACTGTAACTTACTATAACTCTGGTTTCCTGTCCAAATAAAGTGTTTTTCCTCTTGTTGTTTATGGTATGGAAGAAATCTTGTATGACCAATCCTCATTTGAGCTTTTGATGGGGCTTAAATGAAATTACAATATGGAGTTCTGCATTTTGGTCAAGAGCAAGAATAACGAGGAGTAAATAAGTGGGTAGACAATTGCTGCTTTTCTTGCACCCTCCAGAGAGGTGTACTCCTGATTTTGGATGGGATTTAAAATCCAATTATACCATCTGCACCAGTAAAATACATTTTGCATGATCCTTTGCAAATAGTCTGTATGTATGATAATACTTTTTATGTCCTAAGGTTCTGACAAGTTACGAGACTGGAGTTCCCTACTGTCTGGATCCACACACACTGGAGACTCTGGGTCCTGACTATCTGAATGGTCATTTACAGCTTGGATGCTTTGCTGCTCATTTTAGAATTGATTCAGAAAGAAAGGTGAACTGGTTTTTAATAATAATGTAGAAATTTTTTAATTTGTTTTAATTCAAAATTGCAATTACAACTACAATTAAAATTGTCAAAGTCTCTCTCTCATAGTCGCCCAGGAGGCAAGGGAGACAGCTCTCCCCCCCCTTGCTTATTACATTGTATTATTATTATTATTATTATTATTTATTATTATTATTATTATTATTATTATTATTCCAAGTATTATTGTGGTTTTTTTTTTTTGCGTGACACGCGCCATTTTTTCGGATGCTTGCTTTTTCCACCGACCGAATGCCTGGTTCAAGTTAGCTGGGGGGGGGGGGGGGGAAATGGACCCCGTCTCCCCTTCCCCATGCCCTTACACATTCCTCATTTATATTTGAGCTGTATTCTCTTTTTTCAGCGACTTGTGTGCATAAGCCACCGTCCAGGATTTTCACAGAGGCCCAGTTTGGCAGTGTACGAGTTTGATCCGTCATGGCAGCTCTGTCAGAGGCAAGTCCATCACATTGAAGGACTGAATTACGCTCACGATTTTATCCTTTTGCCAGACTACTATGTGTTCCACATGACGCCTTTTGTGAAGGGAACATGGTGGACCCAGGCAAAGATGAAGCTTGGGTTGAGTTCCCCGGGGGAGGAAATGCGATATTACCCAGAATTGCCGTCTCGCTTTGTCATCATACCACGACATGGCAGTGGTGATAGCGCAGGTGTAATACTGGTTGATACGGATCCCTGTCACGTAAGTTTCTATCTTTGGATTTTCCATATCCAAAGCATGGGCAATTTTCAATGGAGCATCAAAGGAAAGCTAGGAAAACATTGGTTTTGCTTCGTGGCACTCTGTGATTGGTCTAGAAAACTGAGACTTCCCGTTCAACTAGTCAGATGCTAAGCTATAAGAGGGCTTTCCGATTGAGCGTCATAACTACTACGGGATTGCATCGATTTTGCTTAATTTGCTCTGTGATTGCTTCAGAAAACTCACGCCACTTGCTTTACTAATAATCAGATGCAAAACTAAAAAACCAATCACAACTTGCTCGTCCGCGTTTTCCCGCGCTTTAGCAGTTTGGTTGTTTTTACTTTACATTTTCATTGGCTCTCAAAGGCTTTCCCCTTGATATTGATTGGCCGTTGAGATTACACTAAATCGACAGGCGCTCAAAAACCAATTATAAATTGTGTTTTACCGCGCTCAAGGCGGTTTTCATGTGTCGAGTCTGGTCCTATAGGATTCTCTCGTTTGTCCGCGAAGGTTATTTCCTTTTTTTCCGATTGGATGTCATGATTATTATCGGTTTTGGCTCTGTGGCTCTCCGTCCATTTCGTAACCTTATCGAACGCAAATCCATGTCTCAAACCTTAGCGCCGAAAAAAATTGTAGTGAAATGGGTTTAATGCCTGTTTGTTCTCAGCTCTGCCAAACCTGGACCCCCTTTGTCAATCGGGAATCCTTTTTATCCTTCCCAGACTCCGCTCGGACTAGGGGAGAGGGAGGAAAGCAGGGGAGAACACTTAAGGAAACATTTGAGGACTGGACAGACAGATATTCCTTTTCACAGCGCGCGAAAAGCATTATTCCGTGAGCTTTTAACAGAACTGAAATCAAGTTTTTTGATGCATACTAGTATCGAGAAATTGAAAACAGGTCTAATGAAATAACAAACAATGTAAATTAAAATATATTAAAGTTCACACGGCAACCAGGTGGACAATCAGACATGGTTTGATGCTACTCTGGTTTACAGATTTAATGAATGTAACCGAAGAAGTCACAATTCATACACCCAACGTTTCGACACTCCTGTCTAGTGCCTGACCCTACCGTGTCGAAACGTTGGGCCTATGAATTGTAACTTCTTCAGTTACATTCATTAAATCTGTAAACCAGAGTAGCATCAAACCATGTCTGAATGTAAATTAAATTTTTAAGTAGGATTAATAATGAAATCTGTTTATATCATGCTACAGATTTTCCATTTTGGCACGGCTCAGCAGGATGGGAACAGAATTGAGTTCTCCGCGGTGTGTCTGGGCACAAACTTCGACATGACATTTGATAGCGAGATTTGGCTCAGCAACACCTCAGTCTCCCCGGGTCTCGCTTACAAATTCACCATCGACTTGGACACTAAGCGCTGTACTCGAACACAAATTGATCGTGCGAGCGTGGAGTTCCCTTCCACGCATCCATACAGGCATGGCATGCGAGGCACGCGTTATAACTACTTCATGGCGTGCGACAGGCCAGGGTTTAACCTCCCTTATAGGGATGTGGTGAAGGTTAGAATTAAATTTTCACTAAAATCGCGACAAAATATGTTGTCACTGTATGTTCACAAGAATAGAATGGCTTTACTTCGCAAAATATTACCAACCGACATGAAAAGAAAACCTTCTCTCCCTCCTCCCACTAACCAATAATGACCTCGCTTAAGTTAGAAATAAGAATACCATAAAACAGCTTAGTTGTCTCAAACGTTTTATCCGCGGTTGTGGGACACCAATTTTAGCGTTAAACTGTCTTCGAGAGTACTCGAAAACAGTGATTTCTTTCTTATTGTTGATACGCAGTTGAATGCTGAAAATGGGGAGCGTCAAGTCTGGTACTCTCACGGTTGCCTGGGCGAACCTGTGTTCGTGCCCCGACGAGGTTACGATTCGTGGCGAGAAGGCGACGAAGATGATGGCTACGTCATCGTTCAAGTGTACATACCGGAAAAGCACCTAACCGAGTTCTGTGTGCTGGACGCAAAGGATGTTGGGAAGGGCCCCTTGGCACGTATCAAACTGAAGCACCATGTACCTTATGGTTTCCATGGCACCTTTACGCCAGAGGTTTTCAGGAACGGACCCAGGCTAATCGCTAAGTTGTGATAGAATATAACAAATTGCAAAAGCAGGCTTCTGACAAACTTGAAGCTTGATGCAGTAAATAATTAAATTATTTTATGCCTACACGGTAATGTAAAATTACCCGTAGAGTTCAGCTAATTTTCATCGCATGGTTTTGATAATAATTTAATACTTGTGGCGACGTTGCCGGATATAACGGCATTTGATTGAGGCACTTTAATTAAAATTATAAATTAATAAATAGAATTAAAAACTTTGGACTATCCCGTTTTGATAACTCAATGAGTGTAATCATCCTCTCGAACGCTCGACAGTTATACTGAGCTTCAGATGCGTAAAACTAAATTTTTATCATGAAAACTTTTCAATTTTCAACCTTTCCGACTTCTTGTTCGCCATCTTGGATATGCACTGTCCCCAAACGAGCCCATAGTGTTATTCGATGATCGTACAGTGCATAGGTTCGTGGTAATCCGCGCAACGGGCTGCTATCGGCGCAACTCTATCCTGACGCATGCGCCTGATAAGGAGCTAATTCCTCCGATGAATAGACAAAGAAGTGACGTCGGCATTTTTTGTAAAAATAGGTTTTCAAAATGTTTTCCTTCTTGAGGAGCAGCGTTTTAAAATTCACCCGGCCTACAAAGCATTAGTTTTCAGAAGATAATTTCTCTGGATTACTTTGGACGTGAGGGTTGATCCGTGGAACAAAGTTGTGTTTTCAACTTTCTGAAGCTTGGTGTTGGCACACTGATATTATATCATTAAAATCATCGTTTGATTTTCGTTTGGATGTGTTCCCCAGTTTGTTTGTTTGGTATTTCCAGTTAAGATTCTTATCATAATAAATGGTCACATCTGCTTCCTTTAACTATAACTTGCGCAAATGAAGAGAGAATCTTCCAATCATAGGCAATCATGAAGGTAACGATTTACTAAAGGAAAGTATTCCATACGAAGGTGAGAAATATCTTTGGATTTGAAGAGGCTAAAGCTATTTTTTCAGCAGAAAGTTCACATTTCACGGCACCGTTTCTTGTAAACTAAGAACCGATAGAAATTTCGAATATGCCCCCCTACTTAAGCATTTTTGTAAAAAAAATAATTTGGCTTGAACTCTTTATTAGCGCCGAGCCACTAAACTTGTGAATTTACTTGTCTGACTTAAAAGTGCCAGTTATTTAGCGGTAGATCTATGCAGAGAGATATAATTTGGTTTGACAGCATGCATTTGGTGTTCTTTTTAGCTAATTGATGCAGCTGATTTAACAGACGATTTGCTAAAAGAGAATGATTCGAACACGATAGTGCCTGTTTCTTCTGGCTCTAGGGCTACTCTCTTGAACGAAAGTGACTCTTGTGTGACCGCAAGTTGTATGTGCAGTGCAAAGTCTTGCTCAAAGAAATTTGCATCGTGCAGAGAAGTAAATTATGGTTCAGAAATTTTCAGGTTTTTTGTTTCGTTTGTGATCGCCAAGTATTTGTATTAATGAATGCAATTTACGTGTCAAAAACTTTTTATCTCAGACAGAGCCGGCTAGTTGCATAAATTCATTTTTATTTCGAGGAACAACTGATCACTAATTGGGCGTCCATTTCAAAGTGTGCAAATTATTTTAATTCACAAAACTTCGCCGGCCTTTAATGCTTCATTCGGTAAATTCACTTGATGTCTAACCCAGCAACAAAACAGCTTTTTACGTACTGTTTTGTTCATCTTTCTATACTATAAGGGGAACTGATTTTCCTCCTAAAGACTTATTCCGAGCCAGTGTCGAACAGTCGAAGGACAGTTTAAGTGCTGGGAACAAATCACTCTTCGTTGAGGTAACTACTACGTTCATGCCCATAGCCAGTCAGTTTTAGTTCAAATATCAGGTTTAAATCGCGAAACAAGTTCACTTCAAAGCAAACTGAAACAATCTTGTCAGCCTTTTAATTAGCGCTTTTCAGAAAAAAATATAAGCGTAATTTGTTCATCATTTGTGAATTCTTAGTCAGGTGCGTGAACGAAACCTAGGAAATTTAAACGGCGGCAAAAATCTTTAATGACAGACAAATCTCCACATGTGGAGCTAAATATTATAGAAAGAGGTTAATAGTGCGTTCAAAACTTGAAAAAAATATATATAATTGGCTGAAGGGTTTTGAACTTCCAAGGTCATAAACAGAGTGTTATGTCACTTAGAGCATGCAAGCTACTTAAGATTTAGACATACATGTGAAGCCCCACAGCCATGCAGAACCTCTGAATAAGTTAGTTTCGGAGCGCTGATAGACAAATATCTTGAAAACTTCGTATACGCTATTTGACTTGTCCTAAAACCGTGATATCCAAAAGATAGTGCCCAATAGAGAAGTAGCATTACAAGAAGGGAATAAGTCCTGCATGTCTTTATAACCAGAAACCACTGAATCAAAGTCATTACAAGTACTTAAAATACCTGAGAGATTTTTGATTGATGTTCAAATCAGTTTCGTTCCCAGAATATTTTTCTTAACTTTGTAATTGATTCACTTCACCAAGTTCCAATTTGATAGCTTATTAGGACGCCTGACCTTCGGAGAATATAGCTTTCTGTTTTCTCATTTGCGAAGCGGTCATCATCTGCGTAGCCTTGGAAATTGAAAAATCTTGCAATTACTGTATAAAAAAAGGAAGCGCTATCAATGATAAAGGCCATTTCCGATATTCCCAAAATCAATCTATTTCAAGTGCAAATACAAAGAGTTTTTTTCATTCTTATGTAAATAACACTTACTTTCTTAAATAAGGTTTTGCGAGTGGTCCTATTTTGAAAACACGGGTTTATGGAACTCGGTAATTGATGTCTTAATGTGTTGCATCTGCTCTCTAATTGAACACATTAATTTGTTCACTTGCTTTAGAGCAGTTTCAATTAAGTGTTAAGAAACCAAAACCAAACTTATCCCAGCTACCAATCGGAAAAAAAAGTTTTACATTGCCATCAGCCAATGAGAGCTCAAATTAAAAAAAAAAAAGAAACCAAAATGCGTGAAGCGTCGAAAAATGCTAATGACCAAGCCGCAATTTTTTTAGTTTAGCGTCTGATTGGTTGGGAGCATGGTGCGAGATTTCTGGACCAATCATGGAGCAAAGTTAAGTAACACCGAGGCAATCTTGGATTATTCAATTGAGCCACTAAATTTTGTTTTCAACACCATTACACTATTTACAATATATGGACTATCTTGCAATACATTACTTACAGTACATTTCTTCCAACGCAATCCATCACAAACTTGACTAAACACAAGATGTTTTTCGTCTTGTCACAAGTGTGAGACAGAGAATTTCTGAGTCTTAACTAGAAACCAAACCACAGACCTTCGGATTCCGCGCTTCGATGCTCTACCCCTGAGCCACAGGTGAGCAGGACCAATACAAGGCTCTTATGAAAAACGCGTCCCGCAGACCGCGAGGCCGCATATCCGCGGCGAAGCCTTTTACAACAATTTATTTGCGTTACATAACCTCTTCTCTTTAAAGGCACCTTATTCTAACAGTGACTGCTACGTAGGCAGTTTTACAGTTTGAGTGGTGTCCGCTTTAAATTAAAAAAAAAACCAATCATGATAACGAAGGGATTTATTAAAGAATTCCTCGATTGCAGTTTAATGTTTGTTGGATTAATGAAAAATTATTTTCCTATCTCTTCTCTCAATCCCTTGCATTTAGCAGTGTTGGTAATCTGTTTACCTGTTACCTAAGGCCACGCCGAACATAAAGATTGTAGAGATTGACCTTAAATCAATTTAAAATGGTATTGTTAGATTCCTTTCAATGTGTATATAATAATGATAGCAGCGATCAGCACGTGCATTAATAAAATGGCCTCGTTTTATTTCTCGCTGGATTTCAAAGTTGGACAAATCGTCAGTTACTTGTGTAGCAGTGTGGCGCCAAACCCGCCATTATTATTTATCTTTTCTCCTATTTTGATGACGCATTATTTATTTTCTTGCGAAATGAGTGTCAAGGAATTATAATATAAAGAATTCCTCGATTGCAGTTTTTTCCGGGCCTTATTTTACTGAGTAGCGTTCATCACTTCACGGGTTTATATCCTGCCAACACAATGACCAGCTCCCAGTTGGTATGTTAGTTAAGTTGGTAGAACACTGCACCGGTATCGCAGAGGTCGTGGGTTAAAATCCCGCACAAGCCTGAATTTTTTTCAGGCCTTATTTTCACTACTGCTTAAGTAGCGTCCATTACTACGAAGATCGCCTGGATATTCATTTCTTTAAAACCGTAGTTCACATATATGATTTTCATATATTCAAAGTAATTGAAGAATATAAGAGCTTGTAAACTTGAGTACTCACGTTTTCATTTCACAATTCTTAGTTCTTGCAATTTTTTAAAATGAATAATAATAAAAAAAAAACCGGCGAAGTTTCTTTTTCAGAGGAATGATCTTCAAACCGTCTTTCACGGAAAGATTACAATAAATCATCTTTCCTTAAAGTAATGACGGGCATGCATTCGTTACTTCTTAGTTTTCGTTCCGTTGAGACCAAAATCGACCCGGTGACGACAAATGTTTGAAAACGTTCCGTGGCGAGCAACCATTTGAAAGTTTCTTCCCTATTTTTGCATTAATAGCAGATCAGTGATTCTCTTGTATGGATTTACTTCACTGCTTTTTCGAAATATTTTTACTTTATAGTTTATGGTCATGATTAGAATAAACTTGGCTAAAGAAAGAACTCTGAAATTGTTCAAATTCAAATAGCTGAAAGATGATTTGTACCATGCCAAACTGTTTTCTTCAAACATGTCGTTTTTGTGACTTACTGACGACTTCCGAACTAATTTTTAACGTTCACCAACGGAGTAACTGTAATTTTATTCACGTAAGCGGGCGTTTATTTTACTAATTTCACGAGCATACATCAGATATGGATAATGTATAAGTCGCTGGTTTTAGCGGAAATTGTTGGATCAAATTATATATTTAATTTCTTCCGCTAAAGCAAGCTTCAATTTTTCGCTCATGGAGTCGGTTAAATTCATCACGGCCTGTCCAGAGTGTATTCTAAGAGCTCAGGGACATCATATGCAGAGTTTGTTTCGTAAAAAAATTTTAACACTTCCAACGTCCATCGCGAATAATACTATAGATTGGTTATATTTGTTTATCTTTCGCGCGTATACGCGTGAGGTACGCGTACGCTTTAAGCGAAAACCAACTCACTGTTACTACTTTCCGTGCGCGGGCACAGCGGACATCAGTTAACAAAAACTACCATAAGGTTAAAAAAACAAACAAAACAACTAAGGTCCGTAGGCGGCCCACGGAACTAGATCAAGAATTGAGTTGAAGCCTTAGTTGAAAAAGAACTTTGGTATCTAAATATATATTCAAATCACCTCCTGGTTTGAAGTTAAAATTAATTCACGCGATTTGCCTAATATGCGTCGAATCATATCGCTCTCAACAATAAAGATAATAGATCTGCAACCTCCGTCACAATCTCCGACGAAATCTCCGCTCCCACCTCGGAGTGCTGTTAAAACAACACGATCAAACTGGGAATTAAGAACTTTGTTCCTTCATCAAGTTTCACTGTTAAAAAACGGAAGGGTATTGTTGAAGAAATATGACGAAACCTACGACATATTCTTGCAGACGTACTGAATGGTGCGTATAGAACAGTGTCTTTGGATGTCCAAATGAAACGCAGGTGGAAAGTGACGAATTGAGATCAAGCAATAAAGGTTTCTTTATTTTCACACCCGTCAATCAGTCAAGCCTTTCTCAGTTTAACATTGTAAATTGAAGATCTTGAGTTGAAAAATACATTACCATGTAAAAAACAATGTTGAGACTATTATCAACGATCCCTTTCGTGTTAGTGGGCTTGAAATGAAGATGTTTCTCTTTGTAACCACGCTAGAGCAATAATCAAGGGAGCCAATTACATTTGAGTTTATAACCCGCGTACTATTAGTGCAATTAAGGGCATCTAAATTACTCACCATGAATGAAGAAATCAATGGTTAAATTGCTCGATAATACTCAATAGTAAATGTATTCTTTACGGGTTCTCCTGATGTGGGAGGCCGTAACACTTCGTAGTGTTTCATGATTTCAACAGAATGTATTCAAAATGTCATAAATAGAGTTAGAGATGAGAAGATAAGATGAAACAGGTGAGATGACAGATTGCTTTGGCCGGATTTTTTAATGAAATGAAAAATTCTTGCCATTATCGCGCACAATACCTTTCAAATCAATTTTAACAAATAGCGCACGGGGAAAATGAAATGAACAACAAAAAAGCTAATTACATGCATGCCACAATCCAACAGACCGGTAATTAATTACTCTGCCTTTGTGTTTTCTTCGGCGTAAATGGTGGATGAACTGACAACAATAAAAGCGATAAATGTACCTAAGCTTCTCTATAAAAGAATCACTAAGAGAGACAGCTGAACAGTTTCTACAGTTTCTTAGGGCAACTGAAACCTGGAGTCACTGACCATCTATTCGATGACCAGGGTAAGTTTGTTCTGCGAGAACACCTCTCGCTCAAAACATAAAGCTTTTTCACGCGACGTCGCGGATTATATTCAAGGTTCTTTCACCTTTTTTACGCCAAATTCTGGGTAAGGAAGTGTACGGGTCACGATTATGGAAATGCTGAAATCTCATTTTACGGACAAATAAGTAACGCCAATTAAGGTCCACGGAAAAATGCTGTGGAAGCTTTAAGAATCAAAAGTTCACTTAGGTACGCTTGTTTCAAGACTCACGCTGAAATTGCTCGTTCTTTTCAGACTCTTTAAGTCTGATATTTCTTCTTCTCATTTTTAAAAATTTGATTCCTTGGTTTAAGTTTAAGTGAAATGAAAGCATAACAAAAACTAGATTTCCTAGTTGTCTTGGTGTTCTGTATTTTTGAGATAAATTGTCTGAGGTTATAGAACATCATGAAAACAAATGCTATGCGGTGATTAAGAGTTGGAAAATTTAGTCTTCTATGAGAACAAGTTAATTTGCACTGAACAATGACTGGGGAATTAAAATTGAAGCCATTTTCTGATAATTTCATCATGTTGTTTATGTTAGATATAAAACGAGGATGATATACTGTGTCGAACTCATAAGGCATTATAAACACATCAACAATTTATTCAGTTTTAATGGAGACTTAGAAGTTAAAAAGACAGTTTCATTAAAAACAGTAGTCGCAACTTATGAAAAATTCTATGGCTGGTATCTTAGGCCCGAAAATGGCGGTGATTTATGTTTTATCATTCGGAAAAAAACTCAAATGAAAACGACTTCACACGCCTAGAAACGCATTTGGGCCAGCGAGTTTCATACTTTTAAATTAAATAACGTTAAAAATTAAAAATTTTCTTTTCAACCCTTACTAATCAAATTATGAGTAAAAGTTTTAAAGATAGAGCTCATCGAGGCAATTTCTTTTCTTCAATGCATACTTGTACACCAAACTATTTCACTGCATAGTAGTCAGTTTCACTTTGGAAAATTGAAAATGGAATTTTAAAAGGCGGTGATTGAAACCTAAGTTTGGAACGGGGTCCTTCTTCCTTCTTGTCAAGATCTTAGACTAAAAATTATCGTGCCAATAAAACCAGATGTAATTAATTGTCATTAAAAAAAGTGATGATCCACGATTATGATCGCAATTTTTGAGCTAGACAGTCTCAAACGGAAGCCCCTCAAACAGCGAAATCCGTCGAACGCTGTCAGGTTTGACTTGTCTCGCCTTGATTGTCAGAAAAGCTCCTTAACCCATCAAAAGAAAATGAAAATGTTGACACTTAGACAAGAGCAAGACATGAGATAATTGACTTTCCAATTTTTAATTTCTTTGTTTTCATTTTGAACAGGATAGGCCGGTATATTAAATATGGAAATATAGCATAAGCTTTCCTGTATATTCGTCGTAAAAATGAAATTGGAGAACTGCGTCTGTAACATAGACAGCTTTTGTATTTTTATGAACTAGGCTCTTGCTTAAATTCAGGAATGAAAATCTTCCGTTTTCTCCGTCCATTTACCGATACGGTCTATCAAACAAACGGGTGAAGAAAATAAACCGATCTATTGATTGAATATGAACCTGATTGTGTTATTGGCTTATTTACTCACACCACGTGTATAGACGGGAACGTGACTCAAACAAAAAGGTGTTTCCAATTTAAAAAAAAATGCTTTTCCGTTGATTTTAATCTTAGCAAAACGCCTTTAGTCGAGACATAACAAATATATTTTTTTTCGTCAGGAAACGAACTATTCTGCTGAAACAATTTTAACATAACAGTGGCAGGTATTGACTCGTGTCTAAGGAAGTTAAACGATTTCCTCTTGCACAGTCTCACAGCTTCAACAACTATCGGAAAACGGGGCGTCCTTATCCGCGAGAGTTAGGTTAATTTTCTTGAACACTAAATATTTTATTTGAAAAGTGTTCTTTTCAATTGGTGTTCGCTCTTGACTGCAATTATTTTCTTTGGCGGGACTCCTTGCATATAAAAAGATAAAACGAAAAAGGACAGTCGCTGTGTCAAATTTAGGAAAATGATCGCGTTACCCTCATCCGCGTTCTCTTCGCGCCCGGCCACAAAATTGCGTTGATCACGCAATCCGTGACCTAACCTTTCTTAGTTGGTTATTAATTCGGAAAATCTGCTGTATTGCACGGTTAATCCAAATGTTGTAAATATGTGCCTCCGCTGGAAAACGCCAGATAAATGACGCTTTTTCCGTAGGCTAAGAGCATTGAGTAGACAGTAACCGCAGAGATATGTCATGAAATGAAAGAACTTTTCTCAAAGAAACAAACGCATAGCTAAACTTTCTGTCGGGGTAGCAAAACGAAGTCTATGTGAAAACACAAGTTGGACTACATTTCTTAATCGATTTGCAGAAAATTCACCAGTTTATGTTTTCCTTACTTTTTGCGAGATTAAAAGAACAAAATTATATCTTTCAAGTAGCTGTGTACATAAAAATATTTTGAGTATTTATTGAGCGTTAATAAGATGGCTGGATAGAAAGCTAACACGAGCAAACTTTTCTGTCACAAATTATACAAGCGTGTGGTGTCTCGTGGTCATTTCTTGTTTGGAACGATGGGGCCTCTTGATTTTTGCTACAATCCTTGACAAATTTATTACGATACCTAAGAAAAATCTGAATTGATACTGAACACATTTAAAAACTTTGAAGCCAACCGTACCATCTCTCTACAAGCTTGGCAATAATCTTGGAACATTTAGAAAATCTGAAGTTGTTTTCAACATTGCTTGGAGCGTAGAGTAATCCCAGGGACCAATCAGAATAAAAGTTTACACTATCGTTAGCCAATGAGAACTCAAAGTAAAAACAATCGAATAGTTGAAGCGCGGGAAAACGCGGGCGACCACGTCACGATTGTTTTTAGTCTTGCATCTGAGTGGTTAAGAGGATGGTGCAAATTTTCTGACCAATCACAGAGCAAAGTAAGTAAAACCAAAGCGGTCTCGGATTACCTTAGACTCTCAATTGAAACTGAATAGCTCCAATAACATGTGTGCACAGATTGGTTACATTAAATCAAAAATATTCTCGGTTCATCCTCTTCTTTTTGTTTGTTTGTTTTTTGCGTTTTTTAATCTTAAACTTTTTACATTTCAGATGCATTCCGTTTCAATACTACTCATGGTCCTTATCCTGAGTTTCGCAATCCTGAGGTCTGGAGCCGACTACGCGGCCTGTGCTAATAATTGTTACAGTACTTACAGGCAATGTGTGGGAATCTGCAAAGTGCAAGCGGATTGTTTCAGTTGCTCAAACAGTTGGAGAAACTGCGATGCAGGATGTCGAAAGAAGAGAGAACTAGCGGCAAATTTAGGGGCTGGGGTCTATTCTAAAAAAGACGAAAAACTGTCGGAGTTTAGTTTGAAAAAAGCTGCCAGTGAAAAGCAGAAGAGAATGTGGAACCTCCTATTCTACCGCAGGAAACGAACAGCATAAATATCAGGATTAGCTTTGAGGGAGTGAGGGAGGCTTAAATGTTTATGTTAACCCTAGGTAGTAAATTGATAATTCCATTTACGAGTTTCAATCGTATTTTTCTTTGCATGGTAGAAATTTCTAAAAATGAGATAAACAGGCTGAGAGTAATTATATCACATTAGTAGAAACTAATAAAGTTAGAGATTGAAAAAAAAAATGGGCGATATTTGTAAAATGAAGGAGAAGCCAATTCTCCAAACTCATTCAACGTTAAC